GGAGCAATGCTTAATTTAAGGAATTCCTGAATCCCAGGGTATATCCATGTACTGGTCTTTCAAGCCATGAGAGGAAACTCGGTGTTTTCCAGTCAGAGAATCCCAGGATGGTTTGGGTGGGGAGGGACTTTAAGGATCATCGCGTTCCAACCCTGACGCCTCCCGCTATCCCAGGTTGCTCCAAGGGAATTCAACCTTTCCTTGGACACTACCAGGGATCCAGGGGCAGCCACAGCTTCTCTGGGAATTCCAGCTCGTGCCAGGGCCTCGATTTTCCCACGATTACAACCAAACTGAAACAAAGGAGGGAAGGATTATAAATCCAAGTGGGATCTGCAGGATCTGGGAACCGTCGGAGCTGGACTGTTCCCTCTCCTCCTGTCCCTTGTTCCCTGGGAATTGGGGACCTTCCACCCCCTAAAACTTCCTTCCAGGGGATTGTGGAGAGCTGGGACAGTGCCAGGATGGCACAGAATCCTTAGGGATGGTTAAGGTTGGAAAATCCCTCCGGGATCACGGAGTCCAACCATTCCCAGCACTTCCAAGGCCACCCCGGATCCGTGTCCCCAAGGGCCACATCCACAGGGATTGGAAATCCCTCCGGGAATGGCGACTCCAGCCCTGCCCTGGGAAGTTCATTCCAGTGCCTGACAGCCCTTTCCGTGTGGGAATCATTCCCAATATCCCACCTGGCACAACTGGAGAGCAGTGGGGTTCTGCCAGCAGCTCCCCGGGGCAGAGCTGGAATTCTTCCCATGGTTTGGGGAAGCAAAATCCTGCAGGACTCACCTTGTTCTTCGTCCCTCGTCACCGTTGCAAGGCCCAACATGGAAATTCGGGATCTTCCCAGCCCCAGGTTTCATTTCCAGAGGCCTGGGATCAGGCCAGAGCTCCGGATCCTGTTGGGTTTTAGGGGCAAATCGTGTTTCCTTGGCTTTGTCCGTGTTTTGAGCGGTTGGAAAAGGTCTCGTGGGAATAAATGACCTCGTTCCACCATGAGGAGGAGGAAGAGGAGGAAAAGGAGGATTCCTTCCCTCTGGAATTCCTCCTCCTGCTTTAAATCTGACCTTCTGGTTTGGGAATCAACAGCTGGGCTGTGCTTTTCCCTCCCCAGCCCTTCCCCCAGTATTCCCTAATAACTTTATTCCCATTATTTTGCCCTCTCCAGCAGGGACAGGTGGATGCCGTGAGCGCCTTCCCCCCTGGAATTCCTCCTGCTGTTAATCCCATCTCCAAGCCATTGGAAAAGCTTCTGGAATGTTCTTGCCAGGGGTCATTTATTCCACGAGCCATGGCTGGATTTCCAGCCCTATCTTTGGTTGGAATTCCGGAAAAAAGAGGTGGAGCAGGTCAGAGATCCCAAACTTCCCATCTGGGAAAGGCACCGTGGGCAGCTGCTTCCCAAATCCTGGAATCCCGGATGTCCAAGGGCTCCCACCCGCCCTGGGGATCCTGGGCCGGGAGTGGGGAGGAAGAAGGTGCTGGAAGGAGCTTTGATTTGATCATTCCCAAGGGAATTCTTGGAAAAGGCAACTTGGCCCCCTTTTCCCGAGCAGGACCAGGAGGAGAATCCGGGGATCCAGAGGGATGTGATGGGGATCAAACCCTCCCCAAAGCCCAGCCCTGCTGTTGGATGAAGGGGAGGGACGTGGGAACAGCCAGGAAAGATCCTCCATGGGCAGAATCCCGCTGGGATGAGAGAGGGAGACATTCCAGTATCCCCATCCTGATCCCATTGGAAAGAGCTCCGAGAGTCCCTTCCAACCTCTGTTATTCCAGGAAACTCAGCTTAAGTTTTAATCCCAGCTCTTACCCAGCAGAGGTCTCAGCTCCCAGTCCTCGTGGTCTCCCAGGAAAAGGATCAAACTTGGGAATTCTTGGGATGGACAGAAGGAGGGGAAAGAAAAACACGGCACAAACAAGGGAGCCCAGGGAAAGAATTTTATTGGGATTGCAGGAAAAAAACCCCACGGGATTTTAATGGCAGGAAAAGCCCCTCCAACAGCATCCCAAAGGAGGTGGTTCCGGACATCTGGAACATTCCTGACCTCTCCGGGGAGGAAAATCCATGGAATCCATGGAATCAGGGAATATCCGGAGCTGGAAGGGACCCACCAGGATCTCCAAGTCCAATCCCATCCTATTGCTGGAAGCAAATCCTTGGCATTGGCGGCTTGACTCGGGGCTGATTCCCGGGATAGGCATCGTCTCCCGCTCCTCCTCCCGGATCCGCCGGAGCATCATTCCAACCTTTTCACCATGTAGGGCCCTTCCAGCTCGTAGCCGATCTTCCTGTAGTAATTCCTCGTGCCGACACCTGGGAGAAGAGAAGGGACAACACGGATGAATCCCGTGGGATGGCAAAAGGACCGGAGGAGCTGGAGCTTCCAGGCAGGAGCCGGAGCGGGGGCGGACTAATTAGGGCGCTAATTGGGGTGATTTTCCGGCAGGAACAGCCGCTCCTTTGTCTGGAGAAGGAGAGGGAACGCTTGGATCCAGGATCCAACAAAACCCCTGGCACAGCTGTGGGATCGTTGCCGGGAGCTGAAGGGCCCGACAGCCCCCGGAGCCACTTCCAAGGGCTCCTGGGAAAGAGGGATCCAATTTCCTCATCCCGCTCTCCTGAGGACTCTTCCCTCTCCTGCTGCCGCCGGGAGATCCCGCGGAAGGCGCAGGATCCCGCAGTTCCCGGGATTCTGCGGTACGGCAGCAGGATTTGGGGTAAAACGGTAGGATTTTGGGATAAAACTGGAATTTGGGGCAAAACAGCAGGATTTTAGGGTAAAGCAGCAGGATTTTGGGGGTAAAGCAGCAGGATTTTGGAGTAAAACAACAGGATTTTAGGGTAAAGCAGCAGGATTTTGGGGTAAAAATGGGATTTTAGGGTAAACCAGCAGGATTTGGGGTAAAACTGAGATATGGGGCAAAAGAGCTGGATTTTGGAGTAAAGCAGCAGGATTTGGGATAAAACTGGAATTTGGGGCAAAACAGCAGGATTTTGGGGTAAAGCAGCAAGATTTTGGGGTAAAAATGGGATTTTAGGGTAAACCAGCAGGATTTGGGGTAAAACACCAGGATTTTGGGGTAAAGCAGCAGGATTTTAGGATAAAGCAGAAGGATTTGGGGTAAAACTGGAATTTTAGGGTGAAACACCAGGATTTTAGGGTAAAGCAGTAGGATTTTAGGGTAAACAAGCAGGATTTAGGATAAAAGTGGGATTTTGGGCAAAAGAGTAAGATTTTGAAGTAAAGCAGCAGGATCTGGGGTAAAACTCGGATTTTAGGGCAAACCAGTAGGATTTTGGGGCACAGCAGCAAGATTTTGGGGTGAAACTGTGATTTTAGGGTAAAACACCAGGCTTTTGGGGTAAAAATGAGATTTTAGGGTAAAGCAGCAGGATGTTGGAGTGAAGCAGCAGGATCTGGGGTAAAACTGGGATTTTAGGTCCCTTCCAACCCAACCCATCCCATGGTTCCTTTCTCATTCCAAGGAAGCGGAAGACGACAAGAACTCTTTCCTGATAATTAATTATTAGGAATATTATTAAGAATTAATAATTCTCGAGGACTGACGAGCAGGTTTCGAGCAGAGGAAGGAAGGAGAGGAGCTCTGATCCCCCCTGCCTGGATGGGAATCCAAGGGAAAGCCTTTTGGGATCATCCCTCATCACAACGGTCTGGCCCAGAAGGGGCCATGGCAGAATCCGGCCCAGGAATCCCCCTCCCGACTGGCCTGGTTTTTCACTGGAACATTTACACCTCAACATCAATTAAATAAGGATTTTAAGCCTGGCTTAAGCAGGGGAGAGAGGGAAGGGGCCACAGGACAGGCTTAAAAAGAGTTCTGGCCCAGAGGGGCCCCATAAATCCCTTTCCCGCCTCAGCCCTGCCGCATCCCGAGTATCCCACGGGATTCCTTCCCGGCTCAGTAGGCTCAGGACTAAGTGAAAACGAGGCTGTTTTCGGGATCATTAAAGCCCAACTGAGAGTCCATAAATTCCCACGGCACAGGCAGGGAACTGTTGGGCTGAGCCAACAGCAGGGACTCAACTCCACACAGGCAGCTCCGGAATCTTCCCCGGAGACGCGCAGTTGTGCCTCCCAGATTCCTTCCCCCTCCAGATATTCCAGGTCTGCTCCTGAGTGTTCTGAGCTCCAAATATTCCAGGGCTGCTCCCAAGCTTTCCAAAATCCAAATATTCCAGGTCTGCTCCTGAGTGTTCTGAGCTCCAAATATTCCAGAGCTGCTCACGAGCTTCCCAAACTCCAAATATTCCAGGGTTGATCTGCTCCTGAGTTTTCCAAACTCCAAATATTCCAGGGCTGCTCCCAACTGTTCTGAACTCCAAATATTCCAGGGTTGACCTGCTCCTGAGTTTTCCAAACTCCAAATATTCCAGGTCTGCTCCTGAGTGAACTCCAGATATTCTAGGACTGCTCCTGAGTGTTCTGAGCTCCAAATATTCCAGGGCTGCTCCCAAGTTTTCCAAACTCCAAATATTCCAGGATTTATCTGCTCCCAAGTGTTCTGAGCTCCAAATATTCCAGGAGTGTTCTGAACTTACCTCAATTCATGTGCCAGCTGCAGTTTTGGCCACAGCAAAGCCTCTTCCAGGTTTTTGGGGTTTTTTTGGGAGTAAACACCTGGATCAGTGGGAAAAGGAGCCCTGGATAATCTGTGGGATCCCTGGTGAGTGGGGATTGTCCTTCAAGGATGCTCCATCCCTGGAAGTGTCCAAGGGCAGTTTGGATTCCCTTGGAGCA